CACACACACACACACACACAGAGAGAGAGAGAGAGAGAGAGAGAGAGAGAGAGAGAGAGAGAGAGAGAGAGAGAGAGAGAGAGATGGCATTGTTGTGTTCAGAGCATAGCTCGCTAGTTGAGATCTGTGATTCATTGTTTGGAGGCATGCCGAAGTTGAGCCTTTTTTTTATTAATTAATTAATTAATTAATTTATTTATTTTAGTTGAGCCGGGTTCTGAATTTGACGTTGTCGACTTTTTCAGTCGCTATATTCTCACAAACCCTTCTGTTCTTGTTTTTGGTTTAGGGCCTTAGGGTAAGACCAAAGTTCACCAAACTCTTCATGAGCAATAATTATAATCATTTCTCATGTGAATTATGTAATGGGTTTTGAATTTGATTTTTCTTCGCCTTCTTTCACACCCGCTTGCTAAGTATTCGGGAGTGAATTTACCGGCAAGTTGCAGCAACGCTGCTGTCGTTTTGCCGTTTTGGCCGGTTTTGCCGTTGTTCAACGGTTTTTGCCATTTTTTCTTTCCTGACATATTATCCTGTGCTTCGCCACGATGTTCCTGGATTTGTTCTTGTGCCTGTACTTGACCGTCAATGCATCTAGGTGCAAGGGCATGGATCGTCCGCAATTTGCTTCAGAAGGATGGTCTCTTCACACTTTCCGAGACGGAGATGGACACCATCTGTATACAGACTGAAGGTGAGTTCAGATACGCCAACACAGGAGCCCAGAAGTGATTCACTAAGAATAGTTAAAAAATAGAATCCTCCGGGGCGTCTTCGTCTTTGATTCTAACACAGAAAGGTACGAAGGGTGCCTTTGCTTTGGATGGATGTGTCTTAAAATTCTGAATTCTAATTCTGCTGGGCTACGAACCGGGCCGCCTTGCTGGGCCACCTTGGTGGTTGCCTGGGTGGCCCAGCCGGGCAAGGGCCAGAGAAGGTCACTGCCCAAAAAAAAAAAAAAAAAAAAAAATGTTATTCAGAAAAATAAACTGAGCATTTTTTTATTTTTATTTTTTAAAATGGTCGCCAACCTTGAGATATCATCGTTGAACTGACCAGCCGCAGGTGATTCAGAATGATTTCATTCTGGTCATCTGGTGGTATCTGGATCCGAACTCTAGTCTGCATTTCAGACCAGGTTCATGGGTGTACCAACTGAGCTAGTCCCATTGGTAAACTGAGCAACTTTTGCCTCAGGGTCAAATCGAAATTCCTTACTAATTTAACACCAAATCGTTTTTTTTTTGGTTTTTTTTTTTGTTTTTTTTTTTTGTGCCCGCCCGACCTGCATTCTAATTTTAAATTCTAATTTCAACTTCTAATTTCAACTTCTAATTTCAACTTCTAATTTCAACCTCTAATTTCAACTTCTAATTTCAAATTCTAATTTTCAATTCTAATTTCAAATTTTAATTTCAAATTCTAATTTCAAATTGTAATTTTAAATTCTACTTTTTAATTATAAGCCTATATAAGGTTTAACGCACTACTTTTTAATTATTAAGGTTTAACGCACGTCCTGCATGATAAATGCCATATGGCGTGTCATGGTTGGCTGAGCGCAGGTTACTCTGGATCCGACGTGACTAACCTTGTGAAGGAAGCATCTATGGGGCCACTTCGAGAAGCGATGATGTCCGGCATTGACATCACGAAAATCACGAAAGACGAGTTTCGGCCAATCAGTTTGCAGGTGAGTGATTATATCATGTGGTGTGCTTAAGG